CTAGTCGGAAGGCTGAGGCGGAAGGATCGCCGGAGCCCAGCAGGTTGAGGCTGCGGTGGCCGGGAGTGGCCATTGCACTCCAGTCTGGGCGACAGAGTGCGACTCCAATTCAAAAAAATAAATAAATAAATAAATAAATTGGGCTTTCATTTCTCACCTTAGTTAAGTAATTAAGTCCATCTGATTCTAAGTTGCAGCTACCTATTTTGGTGACTCTGTCTCCCTAGTGAAAAATGATCCATCCAAGTACAAGAATATGAGCCAAACTTAAATACATTGCATTTTTTTTTTTTTTTTTTGAGTCCGAGTCTCACTCTGTTGCCCAGGCTAGAGTGCAGGGGCATGTTCACACCACCACAGCCTTGACCTGCTGGGCTCAGGCGATCCTTCTGCCTTAGCCTTCCAAGTAACAGGAACTACAGGTGTGTGCATGATACCCATCTTATTTTTTGATTTATTGTAGAGACCAATTTCTCAGGCAGGTCTTGAACCCCAGAGCTCAGGCAGTCCTCTTGCCTCAGTCTCACAAAGTGCTGGGATTATAGCCTTGAGCCACAGTGCCCAGCCTATAGGTTGCCCATGAAAGGCATTTTACCTTTCTATGAATATCTAATGAGCACAGAACCAAATATCTGGAACTCGGAAGTATCAAGAAAATAATCATCAGAAGTTGGCAAAGAAGAGACCCCATTTTGTCATTCTAAGGATTCTCAAAGGAATTATTAGTAAAGCTGCACTGAAGGATAAACTATCAGGACCCAGAGAAAGGTCAATTAATCCATCTGTCCAGTTCATTAGCAACTTCTTTCTAGGGCAGCTTGTGTCTGTAACTGTCTCAGTTTAACCTGTCAAGCAACCTTTAGAGGATGTACCTGTTTGATGAGTTTGCGTGGAAAAAAATAAAACAAAACAAAACCCCAAACAGCCTAAGCCTTCTAAGCATTGTTTGTTCTTAGCCAACTTTCCCATCTCTAGTTGGCTAAGTAGCAAAAAAAATACTAAACTTGCAATTCTATTTTGAAAGTTAATCATATATTTTTGGCCGGGCACAGTGGCTCACACCTATAATCCCAGCACTTTGGGAGGTTGAGGCTAGAGGACTACCAGAGCCTACAGGTTCAAGACCAGCCTGGGCAACTTGGCGAGACCTCATCTCTACAATAATAATAATAATAATAATTTACCAGGCATGGTGGTACATGCCTGTAGTTCAGCTATCTGGATGGCTGGGGCAGAAGGATCAACTAAGCCAAGCAGGTTGAGGATGCATTAGCCGTGAGTGTGCCACTGCACTCCAGCCTGGGCGACAGAGTGAGACTCCAACTCAAAAAAAAAAAAAATCATATATTTTCTTCTGAAATCTTGGCAGTAACCTGTTTCATACTCAGAACAGATTAAAATAACCCACCATGCTGGGCAACACACATACCAAAACACGGAAGCAGGGTGCATATCTTATCATTGAATTTTCCATTGGACCTGCACAGGCAAATGGTTGATGTAAAAATGTTCTACAGAGAGGTGCAAAAAACCAAGCATACATGTTTGGAAGAAAGTAAAAAATGCTTTTCCTAATGAAGACGTCCACAGAAATGTAGTCTTGTAGTGTTAATTGCCTACATTTTCCATGAAGCTATCATGCTAACAAACACCTCTGTGAGCTACCCGGAGCGACACAGGGCTGTGTGGTGACAGTCCACAGCAGGGTCTGTTATTATGCATGATTTCTTGGTCACATCTGTTGTTTCCTGAGTTCTCAGGCTCAGCTGTTGTTAAAAATGGCTACTTTCGCCGGGTCCGGTGGCTCAGCCTGTAATCCCGCGCCTTTGGGAGGCTGAGGTGAGTGAATTGCCTGAG